CCAGTTTGTGTCTTAGCAATTATTTTTTGAAAATATGTAAACTATGTGATGCCTTCTTAAGGAAAAGAAATCCTCTAATACCCCCCCCCTTTTACCTCTATTTATCTGTGTTTGTTTCATAAATCTTGGAGAATCAAGTGTTGATCATTTTGGAAGTCTTGTGGCATGTTCCAATTTGGAGTGATTGAACTGTTTTTGCAATTTAATGGGGAAAAGGAAACATTTTAAAACATTGGGTTATACCGATCTCCTTACTCTGTAATTCTCAGTTTTCTTGTGTTAGGGGACAAGTATCAATCAAATCTCATCTTACCAGATTGCACCAGTATTGTCCTAAACACTGGGATTTCCCATTATTTTTGGCTTTTAAAATCAGGAAATTTTCTTGGATTTCCATACTTCTCTTTTTACTTGCCTCTGATTTACCACACTGGTTTGTTCTCCTTCACAGCAGAATGATCACTGCTGCCCTGGTCGCTTTCAGGGGAGGTAGTTGGAAGGTTAGGATCCGGAGGAAACGTAACAGAAAAGGGAGAGAGAGAAAAAAACAAAACAAAAACAAAACCTTGATTTGGCCAAATCTGGCTCCTAATACATTTAACCAGTTCCAGAATTAGAAAGCCTTTCTGTACATTTTCTTCTATTTTGCTCTCTTTTTTTCCCCTCACATAATGAAATTAAAACTTTTGGAGCCCACAGTTGACATTTTTCAGAAAATTGAGTTATCAAGGCAGTAATTATTTCACGGGGAGATAAAACTCTCATAGCCCTAACTGTCAAATAGGGCCCTTTTCAGATTTTAATTACAAAATAAAATCAGTCTGCTCTTCCTCAGAATGGTTTGTGAGTGGTTAAACAGAGCTTTCCCCCCCAATACTGGTGGTCGTCGTCAAACTCTGCTAATTAGCAATGCTGAGAAATTCCAGTTAACAAGGACATTCTCCGGGACTCTGCAGGTTCCCTGCCGTTTGCCTTCATTTCCATAAGAAGATTAAGAGAGGAGGGGAACACACTCAAATGCAGATGCAGAAAAGAAGCGGTTTTTTTTTAACAAGCATCATAATAGTAAGATGCTTGGCTAGTTCTCACCTAATTACTGCAAGTTAAACCTCTATTTGCCACTAAGAAGAAAAAATAAGTCTACAGTCCCCTATCCACAAAAGTGTTAGCTGGCTTCAGATATAATACTTGAGGAGGGATGAGGAGGAGTTCAGGAGAAAAATATCAATGCAAAAGATTTTTTTTAAATAAAATTGAGCTACATTTAATCAGTTAAGGATTTTTGGCTGGGGCCTATAGTAGAACAAAATCAACTCTGAAGAATAGCCCAGGATTCAGGCATTTTTATTCCTAATTTCTAGTCTTGCTCTAAAGTTTGCCGCTTTTCGCTGCCCACTCTTTTTAGATCAAGCACTTTCAATTTTCATAAATTGTGCCAATGGCAACATTTTGAATTTTGGAAGATGAAGCACCCTCGTCCAAGTCTTATCTTAATTCCCTAGTAGTCAATGGTATGTTGCTATTAGTACTGGAACCGTCTGTTATAAGCCTAAAACAGTACTGTTTCTATCATCAACTGTGATTGCTATAGTTATTATTATATTTAGGTGCTGGAGATAGTGCTGCATTGAAATAGAGTGGCCGGTGATCTGATTTTTTTAATGCATATGTTCTAAAAAAAAAAAAAGTCTAATGAGAAAATTATTTCTGCTATCACCATCTTCTTTAATCTTACTTTCATAGCACATTATTATGCATAAACACCAGCCACAGTTAGTTTATTGCCTTGATAAGTACTGCAGGCTTAATTAAAATAAAGCTGTAAATAAATGCAACCAATGATAACACAATTGTACTGTATTTCCATAGCTTATTTATATGATAAAAACAATTAGCAAAAGACCTAGCCATCCCCTTTAACCTCTTAAATGAATTATTATAGAATTCAGACACAAACATATGCATCTGAGAATGTATAAAAGCTTTTACATATTATCCCAAGGAAAAATCTGTGCTTCTTACTACTTACTACAGAGAGAGAGAGAGAGATTAACAACATTTGCTTCTATAACCATCTGTTATTAATATTTATTTTAATACATATACACCACCAATATCCACACCACTTCTTGGTTTTGTCTTCAAACTTAATTAGGCTCTTCCCCCCTAGTTTTTGGAATAATGTTACTAAGCACAGACCAACACATACACAATCATAAAATGAATGCTTGTTTTGCCCTTCGTGGTGTCTGGACAATCATAATTCATTCATATGTTGAATCTCATAATTTGTACCTCATTTTTCCATGGTTTAACCTCCCACTTATCTAGAGGTTATATACGTATGTTTCTAAGTTAAGCAAATTAAATCTGACTCTTATGATTTGGTTCCATAGCTTATATGATATGTTAACTTCTCTTTTGTTTAAATTACATGTAATTAATTTTATCTTCCTCCCATCCCCCTCCTGTTTTTTTTTTTTTTTCTTTTCTTTATTTCCAAACACCTTTTAAAGGTAAAAGCCATAGTCTTGGGAAAGCGAATCCACCAGTAGGGGGCGCACCAGCCACATCCCTGAAACCGAGACGCACTGAAAAGCCAGTCTCCAGATCCAGGAAACCTTTTCTCTTTTCCTAGTCTTCATGTCCGAGATTAGCTTAATATTACACCTCGAAAAAACAGAAGACATTGCTTTATTTTGAAGAGTGGCATATTTATGCGTTTCGAGAAGGCCTGTGTCTTCCTTCCCAGGTTCCCAAGAACCAAAAAACAAACAAACCATAACTTAAGAGGAAAAGGAGAACTACGGGAGGCGGGTGGGAGTAGGGGTTGATTGGAAATGATAATTTATTAGAACAAGTCTACTGCAGAATTCTGTTTCTCAACTCTTCTGAGCGAGCATACTTATCTTGAGTCTTACAAGAGCAGAAAAGCTTGGGACGGCAGAGATTGAAGACGTTAGCCTGGGGGTAAGGACGGTTTATGGGGAGGTTAGTGAGGAACAAAACAATGCAAAGTTTTGTAAAGATAATAAATGGAACGTGGCCGACAGATACTATTCAGTACATTTTCTTAGGGTGCGTAAGGGGGGATCAGGGGACGAGGGGGCGGAGAGGGTGTTACAGAAGAAAGAAAATAAGTAACCCCGATGGTTTAAGCCCTTTATAAAAAAAAAGAAATGGCATCGGGGATTTTTTTTCTCTCCCCCCCCCCCCTTTGTAGTCAAGTGCATTTTAGCCACAAAGATCCCAACAACAGAGTGGAAGGAAACTTAGACGGGGCTTTGTTTGACTCCGTGTAGCGACAACAAGAGAAACAAAACTACCTATTTGTAACGGACGTGCTGCCATTGCTCTCCGCATTGAGCGCCTACCTATTGAAATCTTTACGTCCGGACAATGGGAGAGCGGCTAAAATTACCCTCTTGGGTCCTGGGCGGGCAGGATTTCTGAGCCCCAACCCCCGCCCTCATCCCATCCGATTCCAGCCCTGGCCTGGCTGGGCTCCCCCATTTCCTAGTGCTGGCCGCCCTCTTCCTGCCCGCACTGCCTGCACCTGTGCCTGGCGAGCACCATCCAGCCTCCCAGACCTAGACCCCCCTCAGAGCTCAGCCTGCAGACCCGGGCGGACCGTCGGGGCAAGGCAATCACTTGGGGTGGGAATGCCAGGGCTGGTTCTGCCTGAGTCCTGGAAACTCTGCGTGGGAGGGAGTTGGTGTGTGCGGCCCAAATGCCACCTCCATGGAGCTGTGGCACGCCAGGAAGTTGAGCTAACGCTCCCCATAGCCTGCACTTCTGAGCGTCCTTCGGCTCAGCTCTTTCATCCCCAGCCTCCTTTTGAAACCGGCACAACTAAAATCCTTCTTTGGGGGCGGCTCAGCAGGAGGATGGGGAGAGAGAATGAGCATCCCCTTTGCACCGACTGAATGGAGCGCGGCTGTGGGAGATGTGGCTGGGGGAAGCTGACAAGCTGTGGTTTCCTGCGCCCGAGCTGAGCTGAGCTGAGCTGAGCAGAGCAGAGCAGAGCAGAGCAAGCAGAGCAGAGCAGAGCAGAGCAGGGCTGGGCAGGGCAGAGCGTGGTCGCGGCAGCTCACCCGGGGCCTGCCCAGCCTCAGCTCTGCACTCGGCCTCCTTGTCCGAGCAGGGTGGATTTTTAAAACAGAGCAAATGGCGTGGAAGCTAGGAGGGTTTTGAGGATAGAGCTTCCCGCCTCCTAACTTCTGGTCGGGACAGTGTGAGGAGGGGGTGAGCGAGCGCGGACAACTGTGGAGAAAAAGGGGCCCAGGGGAGAGCGAGGCTCGGGAGAAGCGCTGGAGGGGCTGGAGTTGGGGGGAGCGCGCGGAGGAGCGGGAGAACAATAACGCCAACTCCGGCGCTGCCTGTTTCCTGAAACACTAGTAGGACAGTCGCCCTGAACCACCCACTCTGCCCTGCCCCACCCCCACACCTTAGCGGCTTCTCGCGCCCCGTCCCCATTTCAGCAGCCGCACCAAAAAGTAAATCGGCATTAAGTTTAAAGGAAATCATCTCAGTCTTGGTGCTGTTTACCCACTTCCTTCGAAAAGGCGTGTGGTGTGACCTGTTGCTGCGAGAGGGGATACAAAGGTTTCTCAGTGGCTGCCAGGCTGGCTGTGGGAGCCGCCTCCCCCTCCCTCCATCCCCTCCCTCCTCCTCCTCCTCCCTCCTCCCCCCGCCTCCCCCGCGCGGCCCGCGGCGCGGCAGGCCCCGCCCCCTTTCATGCAAAACCCGGCGGCGAGGCCGCGCTCGAGTGGAGGAGCCGCCGCACGCTGATTGGTCGCTGGAAACCCATTTATTCCCTGACAGCCCCCATCACATGGATGGTTGTCTATTAACTTGTTCAAAAAAGTATCAGGAGTTGTCAAGGCAGAGAAGAGTGTTTGCAAAAGGGGGAAAGTAGTTTGCTGCCTCTTTAAGACTAGGGCTGAGAGAAAGAAGAGGAGAGAGAAAGAAAGGGAGAGAAGTTTGAGCCCCGGGCTTAAGCCTTTCCAAAAAATAATAACAATCATCGGCGGCGGCAGAATCGGCCAGAAGAGGAGGGAAGCGCTTTTTTTGATCCTGATTCCAGTTTGCCTCTCTCTCTTTTCTTCCCCCAAATTATTCTTCGTCTGATTTTCCTTGCGGAGCTCTGCGCTCCCGACACCCCCGCCCGCCTCCCCTCCTCTCCCCCCGCCCGCGGGCCCCCCAAAGTCCCGGCCGGGCCGAGGGTCGGCGGCCGCCGGCGGGCCGGGCCCGCGCACAGCGCCCGCATGTACAACATGATGGAGACAGAGCTGAAGCCGCCGGGCCCGCAGCAAACTTCGGGGGGCGGCGGCGGCGGCGGCGGCAACTCCACCGCGGCGGCGGCGGCGGGCGGCAACCAGAAGAACAGCCCGGACCGCGTCAAGCGGCCCATGAACGCCTTCATGGTGTGGTCCCGAGGGCAGCGGCGCAAGATGGCCCAGGAGAACCCCAAGATGCACAACTCGGAGATCAGCAAGCGCCTGGGCGCCGAGTGGAAACTTTTGTCGGAGACGGAGAAGCGGCCGTTCATTGACGAGGCCAAGCGGCTGCGAGCGCTGCACATGAAGGAGCACCCGGATTATAAATACCGGCCCCGGCGGAAAACCAAGACGCTCATGAAGAAGGATAAGTACACGCTGCCCGGCGGGCTGCTGGCCCCGGGCGGCAACAGCATGGCGAGCGGGGTCGGGGTGGGCGCCGGCCTGGGCGCGGGCGTGAACCAGCGCATGGACAGCTACGCGCACATGAACGGCTGGAGCAACGGCAGCTACAGCATGATGCAGGACCAGCTGGGCTACGCGCAGCACCCGGGCCTCAACGCGCACGGCGCGGCGCAGATGCAGCCCATGCACCGCTACGACGTGAGCGCCCTGCAGTACAACTCCATGACCAGCTCGCAGACCTACATGAACGGCTCGCCCACCTACAGCATGTCCTACTCGCAGCAGGGCACTCCCGGCATGGCGCTGGGCTCCATGGGCTCGGTGGTCAAGTCCGAGGCCAGTTCCAGCCCCCCCGTGGTTACCTCTTCCTCCCACTCCAGGGCGCCCTGCCAGGCCGGGGACCTCCGGGACATGATCAGCATGTACCTCCCCGGCGCCGAGGTGCCGGAGCCCGCCGCCCCCAGCAGACTTCACATGTCCCAGCACTACCAGAGCGGCCCGGTGCCCGGCACGGCCATTAACGGCACACTGCCCCTCTCGCACATGTGAGGGTCGTGTACGGTGAACTGGAAGGGGGGATTTTTTTCAAGGAGAAACGAGGGGGAAATGGGAGGAGAGTACGAAGCAGCGTGGAGGAAACACCTGGTATGCTCAAAACAAAAAGTTATCACCCACAGCAAATGACATCTGTCTGCAAAAGAGAACACCAATCCCAGCGACACTCACAAAAAAAGCCGCGACGCCGACAAGAAAACTTTTATGAGAGATCCTGGACTTCTTTTTGGGGGACTATTTTTGTACAGAGAAAACCGGAGGGGGGTGGGTGGGGAGGGCGAGGGGATGGACCTTGTATAGATCTGGAGGAAAGAAAACTACGCAAAACTTTTAAAAAGTTCTAGTGATACGGTAGGAGCTTTGCAGAAAGTTTGCAAAAGTCTTTACCAGTAATATTTAGAGCTAGTCTCCAAGCGACGGGAAAAAAATGTTTTAATATTTGCAAGCAACTTTTGTACAGTATTTATCGAGATAAACATGGCAATCAAAATGTCCATTGTTTATAAGCTGAGAATTTGCCAAAATTTTTCAAGGAGAGGCTTCTTGCTGAATTTTGATTCTGCAGCTGAAATTTAGGGCAGTTGCAGCCGTGAAAAGGAAACTATTCAGATTTGGACATTTTAATTGTTTAAAAATTGTACAAAAGGAAAAAAACAACAACTAGGATATGTACTGGTAAAACTATCTCCGCGGTCTTTAAAGGGGCAAAAGTTTTAGATTGTACTAAATTTTTTTTAACTTACTGTTAAAAGTAAAAATGGCCATGCAGGTTGACATCATTGGTAATTTATAATAGCTTTTGTTTCCCAACTTTCCATTTTGTTCAGATAAAAAACATGAAATTACTGTGTTTGAAATATTTTCTTATGGTTTGTAATATTTCTGTAAATTTGTTGTGATATTTTAAGGTCCCCCCCCCCTTTATTTTCCGTAGTTGTATTTTAAAGATTCGGCTCTGTATTATTTGAATCAGTCTGCCGAGAATCCATGTATATATTTGAACTAATACCATCCTTATAACAGGTACATTTTCAACTTAAGTTTTTACTCCATTATGCACAGTTTGAGATAAATAAATTTTTGAAATATGGACACTGAAATTATTCTTGAGTCTTTCATTTATTTGGTGAACACTGATTAGACATAACTCCTCAGGAAATTATATGCTGTGCTCAGCCAAGAAAGCAAAATACCTAAAACCTTGGTATTCTGTTCCAGTAGCTTGTGCTAATGTTAACATGTGGCTGGATGGTTGAGTAAGAACAGGAAAAAATTAAAATGCTCGTGTCATTTCTAAAATAGAAACTAAAGACATAGATTGTAAATTCGCCCCCTCCCTCCCTTTCTAAGCAGCATGATGGGGGACTTAAACTGATTTATGCCACTTGTTGCCAGATAGGAGTCCATTCTGAAATTTTTCGTGTAGTTTAGCAGATGGGGTATTGAGCCAAATCGGGACCAGGTTGGCTGGTTTTGTTTTCGTTTTCTTCACAGTACAATGGCCCTTTGGAAATGTGGTTATAGGGGAAAATGCTTCTTGTATCGGAATAATTGCAAACTAGACATGCAAAGTGCTCATCTGCTGGGTGGGTGTTTGGATTACTCCAGCCCTGCTATTGTCTGAGAGGAAACAAGTGGTTTGCTTTCTTTGTTCTTTGACTTCATAAACTTTCTCCTCTAACATTTTCCTGTTTAGGGGTGAGAGAAAGCGAAGAGTGTCTTGCAAAAATGCCTGACTTGCCACGGCTATTATTATCATTATTTATTTTATTTTTTCCTCTCTCTCTCCCTCCACGAATTCCATTTCTTAAATTGGCAGCGCGGGTCCAAGCCTGTAGCCCCAAATCGGATAAGCTCTGCAGCTGATAACAAGCAAAAGAGAGAAGCCAGGCAACAGACATAATAAAGAAGAAAACAACTCTGAGGTAGATATTTTACTTGTCCGATCTAATCACATGTGGAGATTATTATGCTTTTGATCTGTTAACCATGTTTTACTAGTAATAGAGAGGGAGGGGGAGGGGAAGGGGTGGAGAAACAAGATTGGATTTGTTGCTTTCTTTTGCCCTAGGAAAGGTAAAGAAAGACTATAGTTGTCCTCTGTGGGAGCAGAGAAGTTGGGGGATCGCTGTGGTCTTGGCCTTCGCGATGTTTCTGCCTCGCAACCGACTCGCGCTTTGGCGCAGCCGGAGAACCCTGCAAGACCGACTCCTGGACTTTCTTCTTTTATTTACTGCTTAACCTCGCTCAGCTTTCCCCGCCGACGGGGACCAGGAACCGAGAGTCAGGCAGGCGTTCTTAAAAGCGTGGGTTTGCTTCCCACACTTTCAATGGTTTTTTGTGTCACCTTGTTACAACTTCGGAGAAGCTGCAATCCGGCAGCACCTTCCAACCTTGAGTAGAGTCCCGGCTGCAACCACTGAGCTCATCCAGGGGGTTTGCACCGTCTCGTTTTCCCAGAAAGGATTTCTTAACTCGTGCTGTTGCTGTTAGTTCTGGGTTCAGCTGAGGATATCTTCATATTTTCTGTATTTTTATCTCATGTGGCTTGCTTTATTTTCAGGGCATATTGGTTTTTATTTATTCCTTTCTTATCCTCATTTTTAGGGTAATATTGTACTGGGAAAGGAGAATTATTATGCCAGTTCTCAATTCCAATTCTAAGCCAGGTATCTCCCCCCCCCCCCCTAATTAATGCAGAGACTCTAAAAGAATTTCCCCAGCCTGGCCAGCCATTGTAATGCATATATGGATTATTCACGTGGTAATGAGCACTTTCGACAGTTCTTGCTCACACGTTGGAATAAAAGAAACTTTGAATAAAGATCCCGATGATCTTGCTCTGGGGGGCTGGGGAGGATATTCCCGGAATTTGAGCCAATCGACTATCTAGAGTATATATATTTGAAAAATAGGGATATATTAAAAATATGTATTGGGGTTTAGAGTAATTGTACTGCACTAACCTCCCTTAAAAAAAAAAAAAAGAGCTCACAGAAGCAGACTAAAAAGAGCAACAACTTTTTGGCAAAAATTCTCAGGTTCAAATATTTTGCAAGAGGGAAGAGAGCAATGGTTGGGGAAGTTAAACTAGTTGTGAATGATTGCCACTCTCTGCATGAAACAAGAGAACCCCCATTCCCTCTCCTGTCCCTCCACAGTCCCTACCCAAATAAAAGCCAAAATATATTATTTGTAAATATAAATTTTTTTTTATAAACTGCACTTAAGAAAACTGATACATGTTTCATCGATCATTTGATTGGGTTAATTGGTTCCCCAAGATGTGTAGTTTCATGGCTAGATTAATATTCAACATATACTATTTTAATTATAACGTGATTCCCAAGAAGGGGGTCAATCCTTCAACTTGCTCAGAAGTGGTCATTTCATGATGCTAAAGTTGTTCAGTTCCTTCCTTGGGATATTATTCTGCTCACTAAATCCTTTTAATTTCCAGTCTAAGAGGGCGAATTTAATGTTTTGTTAACCTATAAACTGAATAGAAATGGGCAGAAGGATGAGATTATAGTTTGCTCCCCCTGCAATTTTTTCTCTGCCCCCAGCCCTCCCTCCATACTTTAAATCAAGAGCGTTAAAATATTTTGCTGAGCTATAGTAGATTAGCGAGGTTTCTTGCCAATGCTGGGAAGCTGGTATTACAGACGGTCCCAGGGGAAAATGGCTCACATTAACCACTAAATGAATATTTGACAAGGGCTCATTCGGAGGTATTATTACTATAAACGTGTCCCTACTGGACTTTTCAAGGGTCAAAGAGCAACGCTTCAATTAATTATTTAGTCTGCTAGTAGATTTGGTTGTAATAGCTGTACTTATTTCTAGAACCAACACATTCTTACAGTAGGAAATCTCAGGAGAATCTTCTCCATCAGCAGTGCCTTGAATTGAAATACACACAGAGCCCTGGCATTCTGTAGCTGACTTTTTCATAAATCCTTTTCTTGGGCTGGAGAGTGGGGGTATGGTCCCTTTGGCTATTTCATTTACTGTTTGGGGTTTAGAAGAAAGAATAAAAAAAAGAAACAAGTTATCTTAATTTCTACATGCCTGGCAAGGTCTTTTAGGACCTTGCAGTTTGGGAAGAGAGGGGAGGGGCTTTATTTATAAACTTTGCCTTTTCTAAGTAGATATGTCACAGGATTTCAGACTCAGGCAGGGTCTGAATTTAGAAAGGGGGCACATTACTGTTTACCAATACAATTTGGGTTTTTAAATGGAAGCTGAGTACTCTGAGTTCTAGTAGCCTCAGAGTAAATTGAGGTACAAGATAGGCCCTCCTCCCTTCCTTCCCACCTATTGGTCTGCACACTTCCAGGTGTAGTGGGGGAGTTGGGGGGGGGGGGCGGTGGGACTGAAGGAGACTGTTCTATTCCTGCGTGTCCTCCAGGGCCCTAGGTTAAATGGTAGGGGAATGATTCTGAGAGTAAGATTCCTTAACAATAATATAAGGTGAATGAATAAGAGATAAGCTGCAAGGGGGGGGGGGGGGGGTGATGGGATGCAGTAGTTACAAACCCAATTCATTCAGCTTTTCAGAACTTTTGTTGTGGGAGCTCCATTGACGGGATTTAAGCTGCCAGTTTTCTCACATTAAAAAGAACTGATCAGTGCCTCCGGGGGACAAGAACTACTGCTTAACTGCATAGTGATGGGGTCTTCATTCAGAACCATTACAAGAAGAAAATTAAACAGCGCCTTTGTGCACACAAGGTTTACTTTCCAACTGCTAACAGTCTATAGCTAACTGCTCTGAGATGGAAGTTTGACTGTGGTTTGTCACCTGCTAGTTGGCACTGCTTATTTATTTGTTTGTTGTAATTAAAAGAGCTTTTTATATCCCTGCCCCCCCCACCTTTATTTTTTGCTCTTGGAGAACTTTTCAAAACAGGTCCCCATATTTGGCTTTGTGGAAACCATTTCCTTTGCCCTGAGCTTTGGCAAAGACTTGAGTTAACCTTCTCCAGTACTCCTCCCACCCCCCATTATTGCCTTAAAATATTTTGCATCTCACTGTGTGTTATGCTGACTTTTCTTGCTTTCAAAACAAAAGCTGCTTTTCAGGATGGCACTAGTGAGGTTTGGGATGGGGGGTTGAATTCTTTTCTTTTTCTTCTTTTTTTTTTTTCTTTTTGACTAAAGTTGGAAGATGTCTGGGTGGATTTCCTTTGGGACCTCATCTATGAAGTGGATCCCTCAAAAACAGGAGAAGGGGGAGAAACCTATGACCTTTACTGTGGGAAATGTGACTAAAGTTTAAAGGGACACAGCCTCGGAGTTCTAGAGTAAGCAGCTAAGGAAGGAACTTTCCAAAGATTGAGAAATTGCCCAAACCAGAGAATTACTTTGGCGTCTTTCATAGTTATTTTCTATTAAAAACTTTCCTGGAAGCATGACCTCTGATATCACCCAGGGAGACTTATAACCTCTCCCCCTTCTCACGATGCTGTCCAGTTTTACAATCCTTGTTTTCGGATTTTGTTGTGCTTCCTGTGGCCTTTAGGAAATAATGGACTTGACTTTCTTATTTGGAGAGGAGACTTCTCTTTGGAAGGGTGGGTTATTAAGACAGGGCCAAGGTTTCCCACGGCAGAGCTCTCTTTCTGTATGCGGGTCTAGATGGATTTTATTTTTGGTGTAATGTTTTTGGTGTGACTTTTTTTATTTTATTTTTATTGATTCCTTGAACAGTGTACTCCCTTTCTCTTCAAAAGCAAATAGAAGGCCCTTTCCTTTCAGGATGCAAAGATGTTTTGCTGCTTGGGGACTTTTGGACTTGAGATGCTTGCTGTACTTTGCAAAGAAGTGTCAGTTGATTTAAAAGCTCCAAGGAGTCATTCGTGTCATTACTCTCGTCTGCCTGCATGCACAGAAGGAAATGTGCAGTATCAGTAAAGATTTCGGTTCTCCGAACTAGCATTTGCCTCCCTCCCTGGGCTTGGGTGCTGAGCTCAGTGAGCGCGCTGCCCCCCACCCGCCTGCCCCAGGAGTGCACCGCCCTGGGGAGTGCACCGCGCCCAGCGCCCGGAGCAAAAGCTCCTGCAGATGGAAGCTGAGGCGCTGAGGCGGGCAAGTGCGGGGGCCAAGGCGCTGACGTCACCGCGGCCCTGACCAAGGCCCCATGCGGCTCCCTGGGAATGTTTTGCGTAGGGCTCCAGCCTTCTCCTCCCGGACCCTCCCGGAAGGGCCGCATTTCCTCTTATCTCTGGCGGTCCCGCGTCGGGCGAGTCTGGAAAGTCACCCGAGCTATTGTGGGCCTTCAGCCCTCCAGAAGCCTCTACCTCCAGCACCCCAGCCCCAGCCTCCTCTGTGTTGACCTTGTGACTCTGAAGGCAGTTCTAGAACTCAGACTCCCCAAAGCAGGTGTTGTCCAACCTAAGTCCTGGATCCTCTTGCCTCGCCCCCCAGGCCTTTACTTTTAAGGGGTTGTTTGTCCCTCTTTGGAGCCGAGGCTCAACAGTAGCAATCCAGCTCCTAGGCACCAGAGGCCTGAGAATTGGGGTGGCTGGGCTCCCTGGGACTGAACCCCTGTGAATGTAGGATCAGGGCAGACAGAGGTGAGAGAAGGCAGACGCTTCACTTTCTCATTCGTAAAACAGGGATAATACCTATAATGCAGAAGATGAGTGCAAAGCCCCTGACAACATACAAGGTTTAGTGAATAGGTCTTACGTTTCTTACTGCCTAGTGTAGTTAGGTGATAGGGAAGGGAAGAGATTCTCACTGGAGACGCCAGAGATCAATACAGAAATCTGAGTCCTTCCTCTACTTTCTGGTCTTAGGTAGTGACATGAACCTCCTTCAGACCACTCTTCTTCCTTTCCCAGTGCCCTTCCTGGCGTAGGGTTTGCCGAGGAAGTTATCCTGCAAACTTGCCACCCCCTGGGCATCTTCCTGGAGGGAG